AAAGGGCTGAGAACAAGTCAAAAAATCAACACCATAGAAGTATCCATATCAGTAATCAAATATGCTCCGTATTTTGCCAAGTATCCTGGGCTGTCACATCTGCCATCACCACCTGTGATAATTTTCCTCCTTTTTTTGCACTAAATAATCAATTACAAGATTTGGTTTTTTTCCCTCTCCACACACACACACATTTATTGCAACTGGCTCATGGCAGTAATTTTGATAATGCCAGCAAGGAGATGCAGGTAATTCTGCACAGGCTTTTTAAGCATAGTAGTGGTCAGCATGGAATCCTGTACCCCAAACCTCTTAATGCTCCTTTCCATCAGATGTATCATTGGCAATGAATGACCCAGCATGTGTAGATGAGAATTTATTGAATTATTAGAAGTGCAAGGCTTTGCAATTTCCCATCACAATCAAAATGGCCTCTCTTCTAACATCACTGGCTGCAGATAAAATGTAATGAGCATATTTGTAGATCTGATCATTTCCATTTTTTCCAGAGTATTTCTTCAGTAAGTCCATGCTGTTAGTGGTAACTTCTAAGATCAGAATTAGGGATGCATCAATAGGGCTTTAGTCTGAATCCCAGGAGAATCCCTATGTGCTCAGTGCACCTACAGTATTCATGTGGTATTGACACAAGGAGCTGCTAAACTGTACCTCTTCCCAGAGAAACAGAGGGAAAATCTCAGCCTTTATGGCTTGTAAGGAGAGCAGAAAGACCAGGGACAGGGCTGGTTCTTCAAAACCCACCCTGAACAGAAGAATAACTTTTGCTGTGTGCCTTTGATGTGGATGAGATAGCTCCTCAAATATAGTATATAGAATAGTTGGGAATAAACTCCATTTAGAAACAAGAAATATTTTTATATGAGTATATATGATATATATGACTATATATATATATGTATTTAGCTGGTGGCTGCTTAGGTGACAGCAGCTTGGAACCCACTGAAAAAAAAGTGGTGCAAATTCAGCTACTTTTTGTACTGTGCTCTATGGTCAAGCTTTTTAAAATATGACACATCCTCTAAACATGCCACATTTATTTTTATGATTTTATAAATATAAAGTTGAGTGAGAAAACACATCTATTTGCAGTCCTTGGGAGCAGAGTTTTTGCCAGAAAAGGTCTCTATAAACAACACAGGGCAAAAATGCTTGGGACTGGTCCACTACTCTTCTGAAACTAAAGGATATTTTTCATGTATTTATTACATAAAGCATGCATCAGATATTCCTCCATGTATCATAAATACTATTGAGTAAGCTATGCCAAGCAGATGTCCAAAATTCAAAGAAATCTATTTGCTATATATTTTGACTATTGTTTCTTAATCCTGAAGAATAGCTGTATGTGCTCTAAGGTTAGCTATTTTAGCCTGGGAATTTTCTATCAAGCACTTTTGGACTGAAAACTCACTTTTTATTAAAGTGGGGTTTTCATGAGAAAAGGTCAGTCTGGAGAAACCTTATTGCTAATGAAAGATTTTAAGTTGTACAAAAGTCCCTTTTCTGTTTTAATAGACTTTTGTATTCAAAACAGCTTTCCTCTGCTGCTGTTAATCTATAATTTTTTGTTTGTTTGTTTTTGCTTTGTAACGTTTGGCTTTTCCTTTGTTATTTCTGTAATTTCACATTGTCATAGGATAGGAAGGAATCTGTGATTCTCTGGTCTTTATTCTCATTTGAAAAACTCAAATTTTTTTTTTTTTATTTTTAACCACCCAAAAAAGAGAGAAAAAATCTGTTAGTGCTTTCAGACAAGTTTCTGTTGATGGAGTTTGCCTCTCAGTTTTGCTCTGAGGCCTTCCCCCCTCATGCTATTTCACATTATTTTTGTTTGGCACCTGGGCCATAAGCTGTCCTTTGCGTTTTTCCTTTCCCTTGTCGCTTTGGATTCTTCATGTCACTTCCACAAGCTCATCCCTATTTCCTCTGTAAAATACCAGCATTTAGGGTAAGGATATATCAAGTATTCTGGTTATTTATGGGGTGCCTAGAGGAGCTACCACCAAGGCCTGTGCAAGATGGTAGGTACATAGGAGGATCAGGGCGAGCACCTCTGGATACTGGGGCGCACCCAGGAAAGGGGATTATTTCACTGGTAGTTGTTATCTATATAATTTTGGGAGTCTGTTTTTATCACTGAAACCAGGCTTGATCCAGTTTTTGTTATAATAAATCCATTCTCCTCAGTGACTCTCACTCTAGCTCAGTCGTTGGCTTTTTCTATGTCCTACTCCACCTCATGARGAAATTTATTCTGCATAATCAGCTGGAATTGGTGCTGGGTCTGTGATTACATATGGACACTTGTTAGGAAATGAGCCATGTGTGCAAGCTTGGGTTTGTTAATAAATCAGCAAAGAGTGAGCAGCTCAGTGTTTGCTTTAACCAAGAGGAGCCTTGAAGTAAACTCAAATGTTCTCCAAAATGCACTTACTATATTTTTAGCTGTAATATCTACCCAGTAGTGTACCAGTTGTCTACCAGCTTTCCTCCTTGCTGCTCGATTAGGGTCTGTAGCTCCAAAAAATGGGCAGAATCTAATGGTTATGGCCCCAATTTTCCAGCGCGTGCTGGTGGTGGTGGTGGCTTCTCCTTGCCGGTTATCTTGAATTATACAAATGATTTTCAGACATACGTCACCGGGCTCTTCTGTAACCCGGGCCTGTTATCGTTAATTAGTCATACTTTTTTTYCCCCTCCACTTCAAATGAACTTTTTAATGAAAAGTGTTCATTATTTTTTTTTCCGGCTGTTTGTTTTTATATATCTGCATACTGCTTAGTTTGAACATATTAATTATAATAAATAAAAAATAAGGAAAGCAGCAGGTGTTCTCTTATGTATTCTACAAAGAACCTTATTCTTTAAATTTTACCAGATTACTCTAGTCCTGCTGTTTCATGCTGTGAGTTTTGCAACATAAATATTTTCTTTTATTTGCATATGATATATTTCCAGCAATTGGGATGCTGTCGTGGTTTCTGAAGGAGAGAACATATTTGCGATGTCTCTTTGCTGGTCCTTGACTGATTTTTACTTGGAACTGGGAGTGAGTTTTAAGCAAGTGAGTTTACTGCTTATTTCTAAGAGTCAGGAGGCTCCTTCTAGAGAGGTGTTTTAGGAGGCTGCTTTGAAATGACAGCTCTGTGTTTTTGTGTTTCATACTTCTGTTCTGGGGTTTGAAAGGATCATTCTTACGAGTGTRTGGAAGCATGAGAGCAAAGTATCCATCCATATACATGTATATATATATATATATATATACTAGCAAATATATACTGACTTTAAGCAARCTTTCTCATGCTGTGGAGGAACTGGAAGTACCTACCAGCCATTGTGGTTAAGTCCTGCAGAGTTAGTGGGGGGTCCCTATTTGGTGGCCATCATCTCCCGGTGAAGGTTGGACCCTAGACTGCACATTGGAGGACTGCAATGACAATTAAACTGAAAATGATCATCCTAGCTGATCATGGGGAGTCACACCATGGGGAAGAGGACAAACAGGAGAGGACAAACAGTCCCTCGAGGTGGCAAAGCCCCTGGGGCTGAAGACCAAGGCCAGAGCCCTAGGACAGTCTCCAYGGCACTGCTCCGGGACACCAGACCAGAGCACCAGGCCTGGACAAATTCGTTGCCTTTTTCCCTTGCATTAAAAAAAGAAAGAAAAAATCCATTAAAAAAAAGCCCTCCACCAACAGAGTTGAAAAGGAATTGTAGGAATTAACTTTAACTGTATCCCGACTGCAAAACCTCCTCCTCCTTTTTATTATCACTATTTTTTTTTTTTTTAATTAAAAGCAAACTTGTACGTAAGCGACCGGCTTACGAGAGCTAGAAAGCGACTTTAAAGTTTTCCGGAACGATTTTTGCGTGTTTCAAATGCAAAGCGAGGATTATAAACAGTTTAAAAGCTTTAACGTTTTAACATTATTCATCAGAGGCCCCTGCGAATGCCCAGATGAATACGGGAGTGGACAAGGTTCTAGTTCCTTTCAGAAAGCCGCCTCAACCTTCTGGGTTTCTCCTCGCACATTGATGTTTGGTGCATATGAAAGGAGTTCTCCAGGGGGGTTTCCAAGGGTTTTGTGGGAAGTAAAGCAGATTGGGCGAAGTAGGAATACTGACTTCAGTTCTTTCTGTAATTTTGGTGGGAGAAAACTGACTTCTGCATTATCTCACAAACACATAGAAAACATAAAAAGGGAAAATTATGCAGAAAAACATAAATTATGTAGATGCTGGAAAGCCTATGCAAAACATGATATGTGCACATAATAGCATATTTCCCTAGGGTCTAATTGCATCCTTTGGGTACCTTTTGAAGCATCTGAATATTCAGAAGAAAGCAAATTTATTGTAATTTACAAAATATCACAAAAAATAAGGTTGATAAAATGATGTATGCTGTAATGGAAACTCACTGCTCAGTCACTTTTTAAAACTTGACCAAAGACTAAAATGCAATAAATTGGAGCTGCTGTTACATATGGAGCAGGGATAGGTGTCCCTCCCTCCCTGTTTCCCTGTGATCCCCTTTCCCTAACCAGCCACACTGTGTTTTAGAGATGCTCTTTTGTGGTGTCGTCCCTTGCTGGGAGACCTTTGGGGCTCCGGCGAGGGTAGTAAATAACTCACATGTATTTTCTTTTCCATGTTCCTGATTTAGTCAAGGTAGACCAGTGCCGTGACAACCCTTTGGAGTGGCTCTAAGTGGACATGATGGTGTCAGAAATGCTTATAATGATATCTGGTCTCCAACAGATACTCGTCCTGAGCCCCGCGGAGCAAACCGAGAGATATTTCCTTGCTTCAAGAAACAGGCAATCTGCAGATAATCAAAATGCCCCCAGACCAATTACAGTTGCCCTCAGTGATCCTAGCTCCGTTGGGATGAATATGTAAGCTTTTGSGAAACTTGTGATCAGTCACCAAAATCTAAATATATTCATCTGCCTTTGAAAGACTGTGCTGCTTTGAACTCCAGAGTCAGAAGGTAAAGTAAAACAATCAGAAATTCTTGCTGAACCACATTTTAACATTTTTTCTGGAGTCAGGAGGTTATCATAGTTCTTCTTCAGTAAGTGTTCCCTCATCAAAGGCAGAGTCAAATGCCCTGACCACATCTGATTGGGTTTCCTTTCAGAGTCAAGAGGATTATCCTCGTCCTCCTGACGCTTCCGCCTGGGGAATACAGATTATTCACTTTGCAATGTGTCCGTTGSATGGAGACTTGAGTAATTACTCTGAGATGGGTATCTACACATAGATTATCAAATTTCCAGTCAGTCATATGTAGGCACTTACTCTGGAGAACAAATAAGTTTGGAGATCGAGCTTTTCCTTGATTTAAGGATTTTCCTAGCAAAAGCTTCATCAGCACATCCAAATTATCAGAAGCGATCCTGCCTTGGGTACTGCTTCGCAATAACCCCCGTTGGCATTGTCTTGAGGGACACAAGCAAGAGCATCGGGTACTGCAGATGTCTGAGTGATGAGATTCTGGGCTGCCTGACTCTATCAACATCCCACTTGCCTAGGCATGAGGGTTTGAGCTTCATCAGGTGGCCTTTCATAGAGCAGTTTGGTGGGAATTTGGCTGTTTCTCCTAATGTRAAGAAAACTCATGATGGATGGAAAGTCATATGTGATTAAGCATCGGGATTTTAATGTTCATCCCACCCCTCCAATCATTAAGATGAGGGAAAGTGCTATATTACGTGGCTCTCTGGTCTGTCTTTTAAGTGTGTCAGTCTTGGGTCTATCTCTTGCTTGAAGGGAAGCCTATGAGAGGTCTGACTGCATTTCCAGAGTTTTATTCCTGAATTTATGGCTTCCAGTGGCTTCTTGCAGAAGTCTTGGCTCAGAGTGTTATCTTGAAGCACTGTTTGAAGAAAATATCYTGGATTCAGAGGAATAAAGGGGTGACAGAAACAAGCTACGTGTGGTAGCTGATGGTTTCAGCAATGGTGGTGCAGGTCTTGGCACCCCATGCATCAGCAAAGGGTTTCATGTGGTGGTTTAGGGTCCAGGGACATCCCCTCTGCACTTCCATGCCATCCTTAAATAAAGCATGTTCTGCTTTGTTGCTTGCTTGGCCTCATTCTTCCATCTACTATTTGTAAACATGCTCCTACGCTTCCCAGCACCTGGAATTTAAATACATACATGTCCTGCAAAGATCTATGGCTTATTGCTAATATATTGTCAGCAATCCTGCCAGCCTTTTTTTTTTATTATTATTGTTTCTGATTAGCTTTGAAATCATTGAGGCAGGTGAAGATTCGTTTGTTATTTTGATTCTCAAAGGATTAGAAATCCAGTGATCACACAAATGTGTTGCGAGGCGACTACCCATTTGTAAGATAAATGATGATTGCTTGTCGATACTAAGAAAAAGAGCTTTGTCAAAGCTGAACTTGTCTTCTTTTTTTTTTATTAAAAAAATATTATTTTGATTTTTCACGTCCTGAGAAAACCGAGGCTGGTAACAGCAGACAAAGAAAAAAGGCAACTCGCCCCCCAAACCCAAGGTGACTCAGGCCTGGGGTTTCTTTGTTTTCGAGGTACCCAAGACATTATTTTTGGAACAAAAAGCTGTCAAGGGAAGGAAAAGACTCTTTTTATGATGAGCTCATGAAAGGTAATGGGAGTTTCCAGCCTTTAATGAGCAAAGATGTAATCTACCTCATTGCATACTCGCTCTAATCGTCTAATCACCTTCCTGAGGTGAAGCACAAGAGCCAGGAAAAGACCTAGTAGGATTTGACCTAATACCAGGCAGATTTTGTGGGGGAGTGAGCCTTGCTTTGGTGCAAGTTCTTGTTCCCAACATGCAAGCGTGTGCCTGCATGCACTCCCAAAAGCACTCATATTTTTTAGATATATTTTCTCAAATGCATCTAAGACCGGGTTAATGCATGGGCCGTACCAGAAACGAGGTGGCTGGATGTGTTTGCACAGCAAGAACTATGTTTGTACGTTACCATGTGAAGGCTTCTCTCACACTTTGTCTTTTCGCCTGTTCCTGGGTATATACACTGCAGTTTCAGTGCTCTGTTAAAGGACAACAAATATTAATCTATACCTCAGAGAGAAGATATGTTTGCATTAATAATGGCAGTCCAAAAAGAGAAACAGTACAAAACTACGGTGCAAAAAGCATGTGTGCAACACTAAATATCCAATAAGTCATTTCTGACGTAGAAAGGTTTAAAGTCCTTAGAATGAAATTGCACATTGAAAAAATAGTTTTTTCAAGGTACTTTGGGTGCCTGATTGTTTGCGAGGCCCAGGGCTCTGCAGCCTGTCCCTTCCTGTGGGCATCCCCGTGGGACATAGCAGCAATTCGTGCAGCTTCCTCCCTGCCTCGAGTGGATCTATATTTCCTTGGATCTATATTTCCTTGGATATTTCCTCTGTCCTCAGGAGGGCAGAGCTCATTCCACATGTCAGCTGCTCTGGAGGCCAGGCATGGCCAGCACGTGCACGGGGACAAGCTGCAATGCAGAATAGATCCAGCCCTCCTTGGAGGAGCTCATACACTTCCTCATTAACTAACCATGCACTAAATATTCAAAGTTGAAATCTCTCTGTCCGTATACTTTTGCTTTTCACGGCTGCTTTGCAACCTGGGGTAACAGCTCCCCGACTAAAACACACTAGTTCTTCCATTATATCCAGTGAAGAAAGTGTGAGCCAGGTATGAAGCAAGCTGCAGCTGGCTGCCTATGCTCTAGGCTGCAAGCACATGGAGGTCTCCCCCAAAAATCAATGTTTTCCTGGAAGTTCATCAGAAAKGGGAGACAAAGCAAGCCTTACCTTGCAGCAAATCGCAGTTTGRTTGTGTTTCTTTCCGTCGCTCCCATTTTATTCCAATCCTGCTGGTGTTTTTCCATGCGTTTGCTCTGCGGTGACTCAGTGCCCTCCTGAAGGCCATTGAAACAACGAGCAGGGCAGCTGGGACTGCCCACGCGCCGCGATTGCTCTGTGTTTTCCCTTGCAAGGCTTTGATCCAAGAACTCCTTTTTGTTGTTTTATGCTTTTTTTTTTTCCTTGTAAACACTGTAATGGAACAAGGAACAGGRATTTGAGATTCCTTTTTTCCCAAAATTTATGCAGTCTCAGAAAGGGCTGTGAAATGAAGGACTGTGAGCTTGGAGGAAAACAGAAATGTGATTTGAGCAATGTCTTTTGTTTATTTGAGAGGAAAAACTATTCCTAATTCACTGTTTTACTAGCTTTGATGCTTCCATTAATTTACTGCGTTTCCTTTCCCTGACGGAATACATAAACAAACAGAGGAAACTGGGGGTGCAGGAAGAAGCGAAGGGAAAGGAGAGGTATTGACTTTAAGCACAACTCGGTGATATGAGTATCCATCTGTCCATCCATCTGTGAATATATTGTAATTATTAATAATATAAGTGATGTCATGGGTTCTTGGCAAGAGCACAGGGCCCCTGGGACCGCTTTGGAGCAAGTCAAAGGAAATAATAGTCGCCGTGCACATAGCTGGAGATGCGTTTGGCCAGCCGGCCGCCGGGCGCGCGCTGCCAAAGCGCTCTCTGTGGAAGGACAGGAGCATATTGGGCCGGCACGGGAGCTTCCAGCGAGGTCACGCTGGCTCCCTGCTCAAAGGAGCTCCGTTAGCAGGAGGACGCTGAGCGCACGGCTAGCAAACATATAACCTAAAAAGCACAGGGTGTCTCTAAAGCCCTTCCAGCGCCCCGTGGACGCCAGGGCGCTGCGGTTCTGCAGTTCCTCGCTCTTTGTGCATTGAGCTGCACGGCGCTGGGACTCGCTGGGAGCTCAACAAGGGTGCGGGTGATGGCACGAGAGCACAAGCTGTGCAGGGCGCAGCACGAGCCCATCCTGGGCCCTTGCAACCATCGGGTTTTCCTGCTGTCACATTCGACCTGGGAGGGTTATCTGAGATGTGCACACATGTGCTGCAAGGACGCGTTAGGTTTTGCAGCCCTAAAGAATTCCTGGGGAAACAATGGAAAAGCGATTGTTTTTTTGGAGCCCTTTTGCTGATCCTTTCTGGGTTTTCCTACTGCCCAYGCTCCTTGGATCTCAATCCAAACTAGCTGATGTGCATCTTCCGTGAATGTTAACAGGAGTGGGAACAAGTTGTTCCTTGTGCTCGCCGTGCCTCTTCACATCCCTTCTTTGTGGCAAGGATTATACGTGTTTCACATGTCCTGCAACTGCAGCATCAGCTTCGGTACCACGACCTCCGGAGAGCTGCGAATAAAACACATCGTTCCCTAAAAAACATGCTAAATATGCTCTTTGGATTCACAGTGTGCGATTCCTTTCCAGTATTTCTCAATCCATGTTTACTAAAGATAATCTTCCATCCCTGGGACATTTGTTCCCGTTCAAAACATATTTGAACTCCTTGTAATATCTACCACTGCTAAAGCCAAGAACTTTGTCTTAAGAAAGAGTTTGCTTTAGAGTAATTTTTAAAGCRAAATGTTTTTCCATCCTATCTGGCCTCACTTGGAGGAGGGTGATGTCCCCTCTGTTCCCACAAGCTCAACATGATGCGAGTGCAACATGTGCAAGGGTGCAGCAGAAGACCCAGAAGCTTTGGAGGCCCCGAGTCCCTGTTGGTATCATCTCCTGACATCTCTCTGACAAGTCCTAGCTCAAAAAAGAGGTGGGAATTTTTGGAGCCAAGGATGTGGTGTGAGTGGGAAGCCGAGCAGAGGTGTGTGTAAGCTCCAAGATGGAGATGGTTGYTTGCTGTGTTTTGGCCCATAGGAAAACGCTAGCAAATAAAAATCCCTTTTTATGAGAGACTGGGCTGAGAAGAGAGCTGCGAAAGCAGCTTGCCAGGGTTGGATAGGCACGAGGTGCAGAGCCGCTCGGGCTGGCTCCAGCTTTGCTTGGAAGCGGTGAGATGAAACCAGGAACAAGGGGAATGCAGATAGACGGCCAAAATAAAACCTTCGTGACAGCAARATCTTTTCAGATTTGAATGTAGTTATTAAGGGAGTATATTACCTGTGCATTTTTTTTTTTAAATCCCCTACTTTTTACCCCATTTATAAAACAGGAGTGGATGAAGCGAGATTAAAATCTATTGTAGGCACCAAATCCTTCACTGGCAGTTTGGTGGTTTCGATGAACAAATGGGTATTTTCTTTATTTATAAGGCAGGATTCGGTGGAAGGAAAGGATGCAAAATGCAATCTGGTGGTGTTTCCTACACAGGTATGTATAGCTGGGCTGATTAAACGAGGCCCGCAGTATTTCTCAGTGTAAAAGGGCGCTGTTACCTTTGTTTCCTATTGCTTGGCGAGGGAAAGGGAGCAGGGCTGATAAAAAGAGGAAAGTTCCTCGAAAGAGGAGGACAGAATAGAAAGGTAGCAGGAAAATTAGAGATGTGGGTATGAAGTCCAGTTTGGGTGTATCTGCACTGGAACCCATAGGGTAGTACCAAAGAATATCAGCAATAGAAAACTGTATTCTGAGTGTGTTCTTATCTGTGTTCCAGCCCGGCATGGGAACTGGGAAGCCTCTAATCAGCGATACATGTTACTGGGACTGTGATATCCCTGCTGCATCAGTGCAATGTGTGGAAGATTAATGCAAATTAAAAGGTGTCTGTGCAGCCCCGCAGCCCGCGCTCCTGCTGACCACCCTCCCGTGGTGACCACCCATCCCAACCCATCGGCTTTGGTTGGAGATACTGAACGGTTGTGGTCCTGCAGAGCCCGGCCTTGCTCGTGTCCATGGCCCAGACTCGGGGCAGAAATTATAAACACCAAGGAAAATGGAAAAAAAAAAAAGCAAAGGTTTGCGCTTCTGGAATACATTTAGATTTTTATTTTCAGTTGGTACCTGCCTGCRTGCACGAGGATGCTGTGTCCGGGATGCTGGGGCCAAGCTGTGACGTTATCTCCCATCCAGCTGCCTTCTGAATGAGCTTCCGTGAGGAGCAGTTAATGCCAGTGGCACGCGAGCAAGCACAGAAAATASGTGGAAAGGGGAATACAGCCATATCTTGCTAGGAGATGATAAAATGCAAATCTCCCAGATTTATTTCYGAGTGTTTCAAGATTTCCATGTGCTTTAGCAGGGTTTTGATTCTGGCCCGTTCTGTGCTGGGCATGYGGATGCACAGGGTGTTCTCGGCCCTGCCAAGCGCTGGATGATGCACTTGGCCAGCCCTCAACCCTGCAGTATTGCTGGTAACTCCCTGCTCCTTATTCCTAGAGAGCATTTCAACATTCATCTGTCAAGAGCATCAACAACTGCTTGGGTAACTGCTTTAATTATATTAGATCGCTTCCAGTAGCGCAGCTCCGATGAGACCGGGCTCTCTGCTGCAGAACGCTTGGGAGAAGGTACAAAATTCAAGCTCAGCGATAGCGTTGGCCAAACACTTGGACTGCGACGAGACCAGTTCCTGACCCACAAAGCCGATGTGCCAAAGATAAATCCTCTTTTTCGGTAAAAAGCCAGACTGAACAGATGTCTTGCATGGTGCACTGTAAATAAGCAGCCTCCAGCTTTGGTAGATCGCAACAGGCTGGAGCCCAACGGCCCCCATCAAAAAGCAGCTTCTGGGTGTGATGTGTGCTGGGTGTCCTCTGCTCGAGCCACTGCCAGGGCCACGCAGTTAGACCTGTGATATGGGGAACCCGCAGACAAGCAGGGTCAGGCCCTGCAGCTTTGGGCTTTTTGCATCATTTTCTCCAATTTCAGCATTTTTGATGGGACTGTCAGAGGAGAGGATTAATGTAGGAGGCTCTTGTGCCCCATTGAGTAGGAACAGTGGCCAGCTGCCTCAGTTGGAGACGCAAGGGCATCTTCACTGCACATCCTGTGCTGGGGAGCCTTGTCCTTGTGTTTCTGTGGAGGCCAAAGTGATGGGGAGGAAAAATGAAGAAAGAATAAAAAAAAAACCAGCAGTGTTCTGTGATGTCCAAGGTTTTGCCAAGTGCTACCACATTCAGTTCTCCTCTTGGGCATGTGCTGTCCATGGATCCAGCTGGCAGGCRGATACAGCAGACCAAATCCCT